TTTTTTTTTTTTGGTACGTTTATTTATTTTTGATAGAGAGAGACAGAGCACGAGTGGGGGACGGGCAGAGAGAGAAGGAGACCCAGAATCCGAAGCAGGCCCTTGGCTCCGAGCGGTCAGCCCAGAGCCCCACGCAGGGCTCGAACTCACCAGCCGCGAGATCATGCGCTGGGCGGAAGCTGTACATTTAACCGACTGAGCCACCCCCGTGCCCCTCTTTGTTTTTGTCAGCGTTCCGTGTTGAAGAACGCTTGTAGTAAATCCCCCCGGGGGGTGGTGTCGACCGTTGGAAGCTGGGGTGAGCTATTGCAGCCGGGACGCCCGGGGCCACTCGCGGAAGCGAGTGCGGGTGGTGCTGGGGACTCACCACACACGATGCTCTGATTGACGCACTGCCACGAGTACCGCTCCACCTTAGGGCTGCATCCGGCCTGCTCGGCACGCGTGTAGCAGCAGTCGTGCCGATGACAGCACCTGTGGGTGGCAGACGGGCAGGCCAGCAGGTGGGTGGAGGCGGGGATGCCCTCTCGGCCGTCCTCCCGGGTAAGCGAAGTCTCGCAGGGGGTCAGCATCTTCTGGGCCGAGCTTTGTCCCCGAGAATCCCCCCCTGGGAAATGATTCTGCTGATCCCAGTGTGGGGCGCCCTGGCACGGTCCCCTGGCCCCTGCCTGTCTCACTCTGTGTCTCTGAGCTGCAGCCACACCCGCTGCCTCTCTGTGCTGGGAGTGAGCCGAGCCCCGCGTGCCTCCTGACTTTGCACGTGACCTGCCCTCTGCCTGGGGCAGCTTCCCGCCCATCCTTCCTTCCTCAGGTCTCAGCCCAAGAACTGCTCCCATCCCAGGATGTCATCCAGCCCCTGGCCTCCCCAGTCTATAACAGCGTCCTGGTTACACCCTCTCATAAAGCTAGGTCCTTCCCTTCAGGGCAGGTTTACAATGAGACCCTCACTTTCCGGAGAAGACTGATCAGCTTCTGTCCTCCTCAATGGCCAGAGCCCCAGAGCTCTATGGGGACAAGACCATTTCTGCTCCATTCTGCACAGTTTCCCCCGTGTCCAGCCATGGCCTGCTGCATAAGAGGATCTCAGTGATAATAATAATAACTGGCTGTTGCGAAATTCTGAGAAACATCCACAAATGTCCCTAACCCTGTCCTTCCTTCCTTCATTCACTGGTATTGTCTCCCTCCAGCCACCAGTGGAGTAGCTCTGTGGAGCCCTCGGTGGGGTGGGGTCCTGCAGGGAGAGGTCGGCCAGATTCCGCTCCGCCCTCAAGGAGCCCCCAGGCTGGTGGGGGAGAAACAAGCCACCAGACCCCACGCGCTTGGTGAGAAGTGCTGGAAAGTGGGGGAAAAGGGATGGGGATTCTGGGAGCCAGAGGCCAGAATGGGTATGCGAGGCCCAGCCAGCCTTCGGGGAAGTCTTCCCAAAGGGGGCAGTGCCTGGGCTGCACTTGGAGGGCTTGGAGAAAGCAGACAACCACGCAGGGCCGGCAGCAGGAGCCGGGGAAGGACAGGGAGGAGCCAAAAGCTGTCCTTGACAATCAAATCCTCTAAGCCAGGGAAGAGACTGTCAAATTCTGCCCTCTGCCACCTACTAGCTGTGTGGAAATGGACGGGTGGCTGTGCCTCCCTGAGCCTCCGGGGACGGCCCGCCTGCCCGCCTCCAAGGATGACCAGGATAAATGAAAGCCAGTCTGGAAAGATCTAAACCCACAGCCTTGCACAGAACAGGCACTTCTCACATGGTAGCGGAGTGGAGTGATTAGGGGCACAAATCCAGCCACACTGCCTGGGTTCAGATCCCAGCCCCCACCCCTTGCCCTCTATGTGGCCCCAGACAAGTTACTTCATCTCTCCTGCCTCAGTGTCCTCATCTCTGAAATGGGTTGTTGTGAGGATGAGAGGGGTTCTCAGGACAGATCCTGGTGCATAATAAGTCGGATCAACTTTATGGGTTTTTTTTTTTCAACCAAAGTAATCAGCCCACAGCCAGGCTGGGGGGCAGCCGACACCAAGGTGTGCCCTCATTGGCCATGTTACCCAGGAGGCCCTGAGCCTCCTGCAAGGCTGTACCTTGTGCTGGAATCTTCTTAGTCCAAACAGCAACCTCAGTTGTGGGTATTTCCTTATAGGCCTTAACTACCCCAGGGAGTGGGGGACCTTTCAAGCCCAGGCTGGAGCGTGCACTCACCAGTCGATGGCATCCCGGGGCTGGCCATGGCCACCCAGGCCACAGTAGCAGCCGTAGCTTATGTAGGACAGGGGGTTGCGGGTGCCAACACAGTTCATGGTCCCTGCCAATTCTAGAAGCCCACGCCGGTGCACATGTGACCTCCAGGAAGCTAGGGGGAAACAAAGGTCAGAGGTTGCAAGGCAGGGCTTGAGTAAGGGCACTAGTCCAAGAAGGGCTTGGATGACTGGGTTCGAATCCTGCCTCTCCTCCTTCCTAGCCGTGTGACCTTGGACAATGTACTCAACCTCTCTGTGCCTTGGTTTTCTCATTTATAAAACAGGGAGACAAGGAGACCTCGCTTCATAGAATGAGATGACATCACACATGTAAAACACGTGGCACATGACAAGCTCTGTTATTACTATCTTCAAGGCAGCCATGAAAGAGAAAACAAGTTCCAGAGCCACCGTATCTGAAAGAGCACACCACTGGGCCTTTGCACGGGCTGGCCCCTCTTCCTGGAATGTCCTGATTTCCAATCTCCTGCCCTAGTCAACTCCAGATGAAGTCAGATCGCAAGTCCCACATCAAATATCTGTCCAGTTGCCTGTGCCGGGCACTGGGCACCAGAGATGAGCTCAATAGGGTCCCTGCCACCAAGGAGGGCTCCTCTGCAGGTGCTTTGCTATCCCTGGGTCTCCCCTGCCCTCCCTCCCCCACCAGTCCCCTCCAGAGTCTGGCTCTGGGCCCTCTGCATCTCCTTATTTCCACTGCCCAGGCATGGCTTGCTCCCACATTGGAAGGCCCTGCAGCCTGTGCCCAGCCATTCTCTGGATCCCCGTGCAGCTGTGACACGCAGCCCTGCATTTCACAGATGAGGAACAGGAGAGCCGCGTAGGAAGGACGACCCCCACAGTCAACAGGAACCTGATCTGACCCGGGGGCTCCAGCCCAGGCTTATGACCTCCACACCTTCCTCTTCACCAATAACAGCAAGGGAAGGAGGCCAGGCAGGGTGACAGAGTCGAGGGGCATCGATGGGGCCACGGCTTGGGGCCAGGGGCCCCCAAACCCGCTGTGACCTGGGCATCCGTGAATCGCAAAGCACCTCCTCCTTCTGGTGAAGCAACGAGTCTGCTCTCTGGTGTTTGGTCAAAACCAATCCCTTAAACCTCACCTCCCATCGAGCACTGTGCTCCCCAATTTACAGGCATCTCCTGTTGTCAACAGCATAGCGGCCTTGTCTTGTGGGCAGCCATTACCCCATTTACAGATTGGGAGACTGAGGGTAGGAGATTCCCAGGGCTGGCAAGGCCCAGAGCAGTAACCCCCGCCGGGTTGTGCCTGACTCCTGGGCGTCTGCTCTCCACC